CAGGATCAGGACTTCAGTGTTTAATCTTTCAGTTCTTCTAGGAAACAAGATTTTGCAGAGGGAACACCATTACATGAACAAACAGTAATAAAAAATATTTACTCCTAGTAAACTTGGGCCTTGATCCAGTTTTTGACTCTTATCAGCAATGCTTTTGCAAACTGGCAGGATTGTTTCTGATTTAAGCTGACACAGGATACATTTTCGAGTCTGTGTTCTTGTTGGGATCCCAGATGTTAGAAAAGTAAATGATCTGGAAAGTTAAAAAATAAAAAATAATGACTGCAATGGAGTTGAAGAATGTGATATTGAATATATCCTGGATGTTTGTGGTGCTGTTTGTAAACATGATCAATCCCATTTATTGTGCAAGTTAAACATGTCTAAATGTGCAGGTTTTAGGCTTCATATTTTTGATGGGAAGCTGCACAGATTTGTGCTACTTTTTCCCACCTTACTGCTCTTTTCTTTTTCTGAGTAGTTCTGTACTGACAACAGAAACCTTACTATTCTGATAAAGCACCTATAACCTAAATATTTAGAATTGTCTTTGATCTGGAAGTCTACCTACCCTTTCAATCCATTTTTATATTATGAAATATTGAAGTTTTGAATGACATTTATCATCCTTCAGCTTAAAGAGGAAAAGTCATCGCTGGTAATAAATGGATACAGTCATACTGCTATTGCTGAAATAGCATCAGCTTATGGGACACACACACACACACGGTGACTTTGGTCCAATATTGGTTTTTTCCCTACATCAGTAGGATTACACTGAGAATCGTATTTTTTTTTCTTCTACATAATACTACTAGATATTTTCAGCAATTGAAAATCAGTAACATTTTATAAATAAGCATATTGTATAAACTCAAATACGTATTCCTTTGGACCTTTAAATCCTGCTTTCAGCATAAAGACAGATTATTGGTGTAGTAAATTAAAGCTGCCTTACTGCAGCTATTTTGTCCAATGTTCTATCGCAGACCCATATTAATATTTTATCCCCTTTAATATCATTACATGATGCAGGCTTAATTTAAATAGATTTGACGGGCCTCTTGGTTGGCTTGACAACCAGAGGGAGAAATTAATGTTCTGCATTTAATCTCAGCTCAAGGCGCTAAATTATTTTGGAGGTTGAAGCTGTCATGCATATCATGCTAAATTATTGAATGTAATAACGATTAGCCCGGTGTCTATTTATAGATTATTTTTTTTCATTATTGTTTACTTCATGCATCTTCAGCTAATTTTGAAGGGAACATCTTAAGTTTTCCCCATACAGTACAGTGCTACTACATCTTTCACAGATGCAGCACTGGAGGTTATTTAACCAGCAGCAGAAAAAGGAGGTGATGGAGCTGGCAATCTTTAAAGCTATGGAAACAAAAGAGCTTTTATGCTCATGAATTTTTTGATGTACAAAGATTGTAACATAGCCTTAACTACTTCAGTTCAAAAGTATTTAACTTTGAAAATTCATAAAGGAAAGAACTGTTTTCTTGTTTTTACTATTATTGAAGAGACATAGATCCCAAGGAGGATCTGAACTGCTAAGCACATAACTTAGAAATGGCAGCTTAGAGCTTAAGGACAGTGGCTTGCTAACTTAAGAGTATCATATGCTTTAGGAAAAATGTCATGCATGATACACTGAACTATAAAATGCTATTAGTGGTTGTTTAAAGACTGCTATAATAGGAATTGTAACTTTAAAAATAGAAATAATATAATTATTCTCACTGATGACAGTACATGTTTGCATAGTTTTACATCTCCTCTACTGTGTTAATTTGTCCTGCTCAATAGTGTCAAGAAGTGTGATAATTAATATACTTGTGAACAATGTTAGGCTATAGGTCAGTTTTTATAGTGAGGGCTCTGGGGAAAACCAGTCTCTAAAAGTGAGTGTGTATGACACATCACTGTCTTCTGAATTGCCCCTTCTCTCACCTGGCATAGGAATCAGTTCCTGTCTGATCCCACTGTTTGTGTTTTATTCTCATCCTCTGAGCATAAAAATAAGAAGTACTTTATCTGTATCATTTAATAGCAATCCCAGTATGATGCTCTGTGAAGTTAAGCTTCTGTTTCCCTGAAGTGGCATGAATTGTGACCAATGCATTATAAGGAAACATGAATATCTGGAAGACACTGCCGTGGGTGGTGATGGTCCAGAAATATTTCTGTGCTGCAAAACTGTGCATGCTTATCACAGAGTGATACCGTTGTACTGGCTGTATATGAGTTTACACATTTTTTGTTTGGATGCATAGCAACAAAGAGAAGTCATCCTATGCTTTGTTTTGTAGGGTGCATTGAGTTTAATTTCCTTAAAATTAAATTTTCCTTTGGGTTGTTTTTGTTTTGTTTTGTTGTGGTTTGTTTTTTTTTTTTAAATGACCCTCTAAACCCCAGCCCATATCCATTTCACACTAGCTCTTTAACTGCTGCAAGTGCATTGTTGTAGCATAGGACTCGAAACTTTCCTCTAGTAGAATCTATTGAATACACTGAATTATAAATAGGAATGGATAGATGAAATAATTGCATCAGGACACAAATGTCTCTAGCAAAGCTGGGGATAAAGGCTTAGGCAGCTCAACTCAGTGTGCCTTGATCCCAGTCCTCCTTGACTCTAGGGAGGAGAATTGTGTCCCTTCACTTCAAGAACCAGGTTGTCTTTTCTAAAGATTTTCCATTATTTGATACAATTTCTCCTCTTTGAGATTGGAAAGGGAGATGGGAAGAAGCAAATTCTTTCTTTTCTCTTGAACACCTCCTCCCCCCCCCTTTTTTTTTTTATGTTGTTATTTTTATTCTGATAGTTATAAGTAGAGAAAATATTCCTAATGCTGACATTAATTCCTCTGTGGACTGGTTCCCACTTTTCTCTAAAATGTATTGGAAAAGGAGGGGAAATACTGGGGCAGGATTAAGTCTGTAGTCCTTTTAGTGTTCCCAATATCCTGTCTCTCATGATTGCTAGGAATTTCAGAGGGTTTTTTGTAAAGAAATCAAACCAAAACCCAAAAACCCCCAACCCAACCAAAAGAAAACCAAAAAAAAACCCCATGATGATTGTTTTCAAATAGCATCATAACTTCTCCTTTTTGTGGTTTTGCAGTTTCTATACTGTCTTTTTATCCTTCTTACATTTGTGGCAGGAGAGCCTACCCATGATAAGACCAGCAAAATGCAAGCTGCCAGCTGCTGGCACCAGGATGCTGTCTTGGTCTTAAAGTATACTAAGACCATCCTGGTTCACCAGACTTTGAATACACATCCTGCTACAGACACAGGATTTGACAGATAAGCTGATCTGCTGGCTTATAGATCTGTGACTAAAATCACTTTGTACTCTAGAAGTCCAGTCCATTCTCATGCAGCCAGGTTCTTCTGACAAAACCCTTCTCGAGGTGTATGTGTGGAGATTCCTCACTTGGCTGGAGGTGCTGTCCAAAGATACTCCTCGAGGTCGAGCGAAAGATCTCCCCACGAGAATGGTATTCTGAGAAAGTATTCTGAGAGTGTACAGCTGGTACATGCAGATCCATGCAAACAGTAGGAGCCAATGTACGCTTTGTTTGCTTCTTCACTATTTATTATTTGGTTTGAATTACCTAAAATGCGTATTCCCGAAAAGATTTATTTTTTTTCCTTACACATGATTTCTCCTCCAAGTCAGGTAGCACTTCCTGCAAAAATTGTTGGGTTTTTGCTGTGCACTGTGAATTGCTGATGAAAAAATTGCACAGCTTTATAGCAGGCTAGAATAATGTAAGTCGTAGCTTTCTATGCTGTGCTTCTGTCACTGTCTTTTCCAGGGAATTAACATGATGTGCCCCTGTTAAACAGTTAGGGCATTTCTTCATAAGCAAATAGGAATCTGTCCTTCTATCTTATGAGCAAAATTGAATGAACTGAATATGATTAAATAGTCTCCTTTTTAGTTTGGTCAGCTAATGTGGCTTTAGGTTTTCTAGCCTGCTCCTAAGCAGTGTTATTCAATCATGTCACACTCATTCAGCTGAGTAAACACAGCTAAAAAAGCACATTGAGTTTTTGCCTCATTGAGACCCAGTCTTAGATAAGTTAGTTGGGAAAGGGCCTGAAGATGCCAACTTCAACCTTAGGTACTTGAAAGTCAATAGTATTTTTGCTCTTAACTTCCACAGGATCCCAAACATAGTATAAGAACATGATTTCTCAAGCTATTTCACTAATTAAAAATTGATTTTTGGCTTTGTGTGGAATAAAGTTGCTACATACAAAGTTGTAGGTTTTATGTTTCCACACTGAAAGCCCATTTACCATACAGCTCCTACAAGATATGAGCTGGGAATAGTGGTAAATCTAATTCTGCTTTAAAAAAACCACAGAAAATACTGCCAACGATTGTGTACAACAACTATGTACACAATTGTCTAGGACCTGCAAGAATTTCACTGACTTTAATATATAACACTTCCTAAAACTGCCAGAATCACTGTTAGCTACACTTTTTGGGGGAGGCAAAATCCAATTTCTGACTATATACCTTCTGTTGTTCTTTTTTTGGCTAAAATTCTAGGACTTAAGTTCATTTTGGGCTGCCATTTTTTCACTGTCCATGATGATTTAGATTAGTTCTTCCTAATGGGAGACAATAAAAATCTTCTGGCTTTAACTGTTTGTTCCTTCTCACATGGAAAAACATTCTAGTTGTCAACAGACTACTTTACAGAAACAGTGATGTAGGATGTCTCTCCCAGCATCTGTTCAGCAGCAATTGGAATCTGAGCAGATTCATTTGATTCTGAGCTGCTCCAGTAAAAATTTCTAAATGAAGAACTTTTTTTCATGACCTATTTCCAGTTTGTACAACACATTGAAGTTCATAGCTGAATTGAGAGGAAGGTCTATGTTTTACTATTGAACAATTCTAGTTATTTCTTTAGTAGACTCTCAGGAATACTATTTTTTTTTTTAAATTTTTCCTTTTTTTTTTCCAGGCAAGTGCAGGCTGGCAAGTGTACATGAAACCTCCGAATCTGCAGTGGGTGTGAAGCATGGTGAGTGTATGACTTGAATGCTGCAAACCTAAGACTGCTTAAATGACATTACATGAAGTTTTCCTACTAAGTTAAATGGAAAATTCTCAGTTCAGCACTAACATTTAAAGCTTCAGTGTGTCTGCCATTTAACATCCTACTCTGTTTTTCCTCATTGTGACTTGCACTGCAGTGGGCAGAGTGTGAGTTGGTCACAGGATGAGCTTTCTAGTTGTAAGCTGTTAAGCAAAGGGAGAGACAGTCTGGGGAAGCTCTGGACACTTAGCGGGATGTAAGAGGTTAGTCACATGTCTCAGAATGGTTCAGGTATTTTTGATCCTGTTTTAGGACAAGGATGTGGACTAGATGTCCCCTTCAAAGCACTGCCAAGGGTATTTTCTGATGGTTCTGGCTTAGCTGTATTATACCTTAGAGTGAGCGCATCAGTATGGGCAAGGGCAATATAACAAAGAAGAGAACTTGAATAGAATGCACTTAAACCATTACAATGTATTTCTTTGTGTCATTCAGAGGTAGAACATCTGTGTGTTTTTTAACTTTCCACTAATGTAGATATACCCTGAAAGGTTGTATTTGCTCAGATAATAGCATTGAATTGAAAAAACAAAACTATGGAAAAAGGTACTGTTGTCTCCTTACAAGACGTAGAAATCTGATGCATAATGATATTTGGAGTTAATCCAGGATGTGAACCAGTATCATTAACTCATTGACCACAAGGAACATTTGCTTAGCTGCTTGTCTCCAGTGTATCTATAAAATGTGTGTCCAGAAATGTGTCAGAGTCATCTTGCTGTTGTAGTGTTACAGCACATGTTGTGCCTTTAAGCTTTTAACACTGCTTTTAATGATCATGTGCTTACTAACTTGGTTTCTTAGCTTCAATAATTAAAGTAGAGTATGCGGGTTAACTATTATCACTTGTTTGTAGGAGAAAGCTGATGAGAAAGCTTCTCATTTTGCAATTTTTCCTAGGGAAAGGGACAATATTTTTCATATTTCCTAGAGCAGACAGCCTTTTTTCTATGCTGCTGTTCAATAGGATGAACTAAGCTCTCTGAGATCAGCAAAAAAGGTTGTCAAACGACAGTAGACTATTAAAAAGGATTTAAAAAAGTAGCTAGCTAAACATTTTAATAGAGTAGATATTTTACTGTTGAAACATTCCTGTATAAGCAATTCTATTGCCTAAAGTCCACAAACTTCTAATACTCCTTTCATTATTTTCTATAATTTCACATCATATTTACAGTTACCTAGAATTTGGAAATCCCATTGAATAAAATCTAGTTTGCTTTCACTTCTTAGTGGTGATTCTCCTGTGTGTCTTACCTTCCACTGACCTACATTCGAAGTGCAGCTCTGTGCTGAAAAGCTGCAACTGGCTGTTGAAAAGAATCATTTAAAATGGACCTGCTGCTCAGCATACCCTCTTAGAGTGAAAAGTCAGCAAAAAAAAAAAAAATCTGCTTTTTCCTGTGCACAACTTGGAGGTGATAGTCTTTAAAAGAAGTAACAAGAAATTTGCACTGAGTGGTTGTTGAGCTTCTGTAAGAACATGGAAGTGTTTAATTGCAGAAAGTGGGATGGTAGTGGTTGCACAAACCCCAGTAAAGTGGGGCAGCAGAGTTTGTACCAGCAGAAAACCTCTCCTCAACTGTTTAAGATCTGCTTGGAGGCAAATCAGAGACACAGTCAATCCATCACATTGCATAAGCAGTGCTGGTGAGTAGCACTGGAACAGGGCCTGAAAGATATATCGGATTTTTTTAGCTTTCCTGGCTGGCTGACTTTTCTTTGAAGGAAGCTTATTTGAAAGTGGTATTTATGTTTGTATTGACTGTCAAGGAACATTCTGGATTGAAACACTAGGCAACTGTGCAGCTAGAGATATCAATTTCTTCTCTTATTTTCTTTGTGTTTTAGCTTCCCTGTACGTAGAGTAACAGTATTTTTGGTATCAACTCTGACTCTGAGTTTTCTTTAACCATTATCAGGGTTAGAAGTAGAAATAGTGGTAGATGGGAAAGAGAACGGAATAACAAACTTTGGAGTACCTAATCAAGAATCATTACAGACAATTGGAGAGGGATCAAGGATAAGTCAGTGAAGCTATGGAAATTGATTTATTTAACAGTAGAATGACATTCAATCCATTTTTCTGTAACTGTGGTGAAGAAATGATAATGATGCTGTGCTTTGTGGAAATAATTTTCTGAGAGCAATAAGTTGGATAAACTTTGACAATATTTTGCAAGATTTGAGACTTACTCAAAGTTTTTGAAGTTTGTGGGATCCCTAATTGAAACATGTTTTAATGGAGCACCATGGTAAGAAAAGACTGCCAGTACATCTTGGCAGGATGTGGAAAAAGCAGTGAGAATTTGCATGCTGCAGAGTAAATCAGGCTGTAAACTTGGAAGGGAAAGAGAACAATGATATCTTCGAACCTGATAAGGAGCTATTAATTTAGTTAAAAGAAGGTAGAAAGAAATTATGTATAAGGCTTCAAAAATCACAAAAGAAAACCCTGTCTTAATCTGTGTCCAGGCTTTGGACAGACAACTGTGAGATGTGAGAGAGGCGTACAGAAACCTGAAAGTAGGAATGGTACCTGGGGGAAGCAACATGTATTTTGTGTGGCAGAGGAAAGTGAAGTGAGAGAAATTTTCCATAGACCTTTCTATCTAGTGACTAAACTGTCACCTTGAACATAAGTGAAACTTAGATGCTTCTAAATTTGCCCAGTCATGCAGAAAACAATGCACTGTAAGGAAAGTTACAATAAAGGATGTATGACTCAATCACGTTGAACACAGACCGGTGTTTGTGTCTTAGCTTGTGCAGTGGGGGAACATGCTTACTAAACATGTCCCTGAGCTAGATGGGATTGCTTCAGGAAATGAAATTATGTATTCCAGGGCTGAAAATAAGCCAGAAAAACATTTCATGCTATCATAGAATGACATTAACTGCTGTAGATAAAGTGTACAGAAAAAAGCCAAACTAAGTGAAAATATGGAAATATTCTGGGACAGGCCAGGTTCTCAGAAAGGAGGTAAATCATCAACCCAAGAGAGCATTATCCATGGGGGAACCAAATCACAGCAGTGTGAAGGGCTGAGCAAAACATCAGAGACTAAAACTGGCGAGGTACATCTCTTTATATGGATGTTGCTATCATTGACTGCCTGACAACTTTGACTTACATGTTGTTTTATCAAGAGTCCCTCTTTCTTTCAAAGAAGGGAATGATTAGAGCTAGTTAGAGCCTGACAGATGGAGATCCTTCCCTGCTTCTCATGTGTTCCCTTTTCAAAAGTAATTTTGGTTTATGTACCCAATAAAAATATATAAAAATCATAGTCGCAAGATTATACTGAGTGTTTTTCTTGATTGCTTTCATCTCAAATACTGAAGAATGTAATTTGTAAGGCTGTTACAGTGCTAATTGGATGTGTTCTTTTCTCATCTGTATTCTCTCTTAAATATCAATGAAGTGCTTTTAAAATTTTTATCAATGATATCAAAATGATATCAAATGTCACAACTTTTCTTCCATATTTTATTTTTTTCCGTTAAAAAAACCCAAACCAAAACAACAACAAAAATTGCTTCGTCCACTAAATCAGTTTGGCTAAATCAATTAACTGCTTCAGCTCCTATAAACAAGATAGTTGTAAGCAAATTATGAAGAGACAGATGTGAAATCTTTTCTCCTCTCTTCATTACTGTTAATTATTATGGCAGTTCTATAGACAGGACTAGAAGGCTGTTTTGGCTTCAGAGTAATTTGGGCTGTGAGCTGGGCTACTCAGGGGGCAAATATCAAGCTAATTTCTAGGAGAGAAATTTGAAGCTGTGTAGTTTAGGATACTTTAAGCATTTCAAAGTTTCCGCTTTAGGATAAAATTTATCCTGGCCCATGAGGAAAAGCCAAGGGATCTTGAATTTTATACCAGTGTTTCCTTGATCCTCTGACATGATTATGCAGTAATATAGTTCTGAGTCTGGCTCACCAAATGCTTTTTGTACAGTGATAGTATACATAAATGCTAAACCCCACAACTGCAGATGCAGGTAACTCAGCAGAATTTTGACCTTCTATTTGATTGCTTTTCTGTGCCAAAATTTCAGATTCTGATGAAGAGCATCCAATGATTATCTTTTTTTCCCCCAAATCATCTACATAGAGACACGTTTAAAATCTGCATGGATATTTAAATATCTAAAACTTTTCATATCTTTAACATTATCTCTTCAGGCTTTTTTTTTTGTTTGTTTGTTTTGTTGTTGTTGTTGTTTTAAACAGAGTCCTAGCCTGGCACTTTCCATCTTGTTATGGTAGCAAAGTATGAAAAACACATTTTCTCACAAATTCTGAACTATTATAAATTGATTTTGTAGAGGAAGCATCTTTAGTCTGCTAAATTGCATAGCATGTTTTTACACATTGAAAGCTGTACCTTAAGCACACATTACTACACTTTGTTCAAAAAAATTGTACATGAGTTTTGTTGTTTTGAAAAGGCATTGTTGTATTCATAGAGAAGTCCTACGAAGTAACATTAATGGCATGTTCCACTGTTGAGTGGAGGAAATGTATTAGCAGACTAATTTAAAGAGTAGAAAGCTCAAGGAATTAATTTTTTTTTTTTTTGATCTTCTGGATATGTGGTCTTGTTGTCCAGCCATAGATGTAACAGAATGCCTTTCTCCAGGGAAAAGGAATGAAAGATAATTGTTCACACACTTTAGGATAGCAGGTCTGACAGATAGTGGAGCATGTCCTTACCTGCAATGGTCCTGTCAGATCATTTCATCACACATCTAACTCAGAGACCTCCAAAATCAGACATGACCAAGTCATTGTCATAAAAATCTGAATCATGTAAGTGCACATTAGATATAGGATTCAGTTCAAGCTGAAAATAAAAAGTGAATTTCATCTTCTAAGAGCCGTTTGAAAGAATGTTTTAAGAAAAGTGATATGCAAATAT